ACTAATATTGTTATGCTTTGCAAGAATACACATCGCAAGGATCAAAATGGCTATAGGGGGTCATATTTTGTTCCATATTAAGTGCTTGGTTTTCAAAAAGCATTTTCATTAATGACCCGGGGAGATACTGCCACGTTTGACCTTTCAGTTCAGGCACCATCGTTTTCCTTGGATCAGAGACATCCGTATCAGTACAATCTGCTGACTAATGGGCTTAAAGGGGATCTACTACAGCTGTCTTCTACAGCATGTGCTAAAATTACCCACAGATCAAGGGAAGAAAAATGTTCCAGAGATTTTTTTTTTTTATGTCGACAAATACATCAGATGTAATTATTGTTYGAGAACATTTTAATCCAATGTGCCTAAAATCTGCAAACAAATATTTTAAAAATGAATCCAAACATYCAGTCTAATGAAGAATTAAAGCACATGTTCCTGGAAAGTTTCTGACATGAGCTCATTACTCGTATTGCATCTGGAGGGAATGTACGACCTGGTAGAGGTCAACACATCCTAACCTCCTTAGCAACAATAACAAAGGACAGCAGAGGCATGACTTGTAACCAGAGGTGTCAMGTAAGTAAGTACAAATACTTTGTTACTTTACTTAAGTAGAAATTTTGGTTATTTATACTTTAGTAGTGTGATTACTGTATTTTTCAGCATACTTTTTACTTCTGCTCTTTACATTTTAATTCAATTATCTGTCCTTTCTACTTCTTACTTTTTAAAAATGCAAAAAGTATTTCACTTCTATTTAACTTTGACTTATTCATTCCATCTTTTCCTTGTTCAGAAAAAAATAAATAAATAGAAATCTATTCAGATACAYGGAGCACTTGGATAGAGTGAAATTGATTGTGGTTGGATGAGAAGTGTAAATATATACCATTCTGACATCCTGTTGGATTGAACACACTCCATCACACCTGTATGACACAAATCACATCACATTCCAGCAGGACACACTGTAGCAGATGTAGCCTAGAATGGAGATGAGCATGGCTGAAACAAGTAGTCTAGTCAGTTAATTACAATTTTTTCAACATTAACATTTTAATTTAACATTATATCATCATTGACTTTAGAAGGAAAAATGGGGTGGGGTGGGGGGTACACTATAGAAGCGGTTCACAAACTTGACCCACAAAATAGCAGYAGCAGAGACCTGTGCTCCCAGCTGTTGTCGGTCGATAAATATTGTTTTCATGTCAAATATACAAGAGCATAACATTATTTATTACTCTATTTTTTGTCCATTTTAAGTACACTAATCTTATTATTTTTGTAAAAACAAAGGAAAAAAGTTCTTAGTTGTCTTTTTTTGTGTAA